AAAAAAAAACAATTCGATCATGGATTACCAAAAAAAAAAATAAAAAATAAAAAATAAAAAATAAAAAATAAAAAATAAAAAATAAAAAAATTTATGTTCTTCACAAAGCCATCTTACATAAGCCATTTTAACTCAAAAATCCACCTCTAAGTGAATAAATTACATCCAATTGAGTACATTTTTTGATAAACAACAATATAAGGAATCAAAACCCTAAATTTTTAACACATTATTTCTAATATATCATGAAAAAAAAATCAAAAGGCGGAAAAAAAAAAAAAAAAGTGGAATTTTGGTTCCGCAAACATCTCTGTGTTCATCTCAAATTTCATGCTGTAATTGACCAAATTACATAAAATTGAAAATTTTAAATCATAATAGACACAACAAAGATTAAAAACCCTACAAATTGAACTCATTATTTTCAAAATATGCAGTGAAATTAATCATATGGCGGAAAAAAAAAAAAACCCAAACTTCTTACCTGGTTTTGTGAACCGGAGCCTTCAATCTCCAAAAAACTCTGTTTTTCTCAACGATTGTCACAAATTAGTAACAAAAGGTTTTGATGCACAACTTTACGATCAAAATGCCTACAAAATTTGAAAGATTCATGCCCTATTTGGCATGAAACACAAGGAAAGGCAGAAACCCTAAAAATGCAAGTTTCGTGATCCAAAAACACCAAAATTTTCAACCATTTAATCTGTGGAAAAGCTAAATAAAGCTGTTTACAGCCTGCAAATTAGATCACATGCCAAAAAAAACAAGAAAAATGATAAAAAAATGACAAATTTCGAAGAATCCCGTGAAGAACATTGTGCAACCCATGTTCTTCACGGAACTCGCCGATTCCATACAGTGAATTGGCGAGTCACTGTGTAGAATCGTCTGGTTCTCTCTAGAACCGGACGATTCCCGTTTTTTACAGCGATTCGATCCCTCCATGGCGATTCCCGAGTGGAACCGAGCGAGTTCGGTTCGACTCGGCATTTTTTTAAACACTGGCGAAAACTGTGGATAAACCGTCAAAGCGCTTAATACACAAAATTGTGGATATCAATAGCGCTTAGTATATCAAAAGTCCAAAGATAAGGGCAATAGCAAAAACCAAGGTTTAGAAAAACGGATTAGCGATTCGGATTAGATCAATGGATCGGTGATGTGGATTAGAGAATCGGCCAATCTTAGTCTTTATAAGTTTTCAAAACACATTAAAAATCCCTAAAATAATACTTTTTCAGTTTCTAAACAAAATTGGGGCTGGTGCATTATGTATTTTTATTATTTTATGAAAACACATTATGATGTCGTTCCCTTGTGTGGATGTCTGTTGACCATTACATTCAAATCATTAAAAAAAAAAGGGAAAAATTACCAAAAACCCTCAAGACCACACTTTCTATGCAACTTACCTCCAACCTAACTTTTTCTCTCAATTTTTTTCCCAAAACAAACTTTCTATGCAAATACTCACCCAAGCCAAAATGCATTTTTTTAGACGAAAACGCCTTTCCCGTACACAAAAATCATTTTGGCTAGATTTGACATTGACTTTTGGATCCATTAGCATAAGACAACTAGAACCGAAACTGACTACTGTCGGACCACCCTAGTAACATTTACTGTCGGACTGCCCTTTGCAACTGCCGGACCACACTTTACACAGTGTTGGGGCCCTACTGTCGGATCGCACTTTACACAATGTCGAAGCCTTATTGCGGAACCGCACTTGTCGGAGCCCTAATGCCAGACTTTACACAGTGTTGGGGCCCTACTGTCGGATCGCACTTTACACAATGCCGAAGCCTTATTGCGGAACCGCACTTGTCGGAGCCCTAATGCCAGACTGCACTTAGTGCTGGAGCCCCTATTTTGGTGGGATAGAGGAGAGAGGCATGGGTAAGGTAAAGTAAAGGAGGATAGTTTAGGTATTTTTTTATTTTTTATTTAGTTGGGGGTATTTGCTTAGAAAGTGTAGTTTGAAGAAAAAAGTAAGGGAAAAAGTTAAATTAGGGGTAAGTTACATAGTAAATGTAGTTTCGGGGTTTTTTTTGTAATTTTCAGAAAAAAAAAAAAACTTATAATTATAATAGATATAAATACATAGTCCAAAATATAATTGAAAGTACTCCTTGAGGCTCTTCTCTCCTTGATGGCGTCTTATTTTGAAGCTCAGTGAGAGGTGAAAGAAAGAGATTGCTTTTTAATGTGCCAAGAGGAGTGATCGATGTGGTCCGAAATCTTGCTTAGGTCGTAAATTCAATATCGTTTTGTATTTGGAACTTGTAATGCAAAACCTCTTAAGCTAGTCTTTTTATAACTAGATCACACGGTGATTTCTGATTCGGATCGAGCAGTTTCAATTTGATCGACAATTTTTCATATACTACAAAACAAAAACATTGATAAACTATAATAATATTTCAAAATTCAAACCTTGAGTATCGAAAATTTTAACCATAAAAAAGAAAATTTTCAAATTGCACTGCGCCCCCAAAAACATAATGTCTCGGGATATGTAAAGGGTAATATTTAACTGTTCTTAACTCAAAATTAATTTGTCAATAATTATATTTAAGTGCTCAATAACTCAAAATCTAGTTTTATTTTAAAAATAAAATTAAAACACATAAATATAGTGTTACAATGTTAATCTCTCAAAAGATAATTTGATCAGTAGTTTCAGTAGGAGAAAAAATCATTGGAGTAGTATATCCCCGGAAGCAGCGCGGGTACAGCATGCTCTAACGGGAGCATGCATGCGTGCTCTTACGTCAGCAGAATTTTATTGTACCGCCGCATTTTGCAGGGAAAACGTTAGTACATTAACGATCGTAATTAGCTCTTTGGATTGGTCACGGTTATTTTTGGCATAGAAAATAATTTAATAGGGCTGCAGTCTTATTAAAATAAATAAAGTCCCACCTCATAACTCATCAAAAATTACAATTTGAGCATTGAAAAAATCTTTACCTTGATCATCTTGGCTTGAGCATTATGGTTGTAAGAAAAAAAATTGAGATTTTAAGCTAAAAAAAATGTGTATTATAACAAATTATCTACATTATCTATTTCATCTTAAAAAAAAAAAAATAATTGTTCACAAATACATAAATTTTATACGATTTTATTGAGTTTCAAATTTTATTTTTGGTATTGAAAATGGATTTTAGATCCATCATAGATTTAAGGTGAGGCTTTATTTTGTTTTCATACAGCCTAGGCCTTATAGAAACTTCCTCCTTTCGGCATGGTACCCTGGGAAAATTCCAAAGCATTTATTAGCGCGAGGAAGGCCTTTCGCCAATCGAAGAGGATAATCTTCCACTCCCTCTCTCCTCTCTCTCATCATCTTTCTCAATTCCTTTGGGAAAGAGAGAAACGTGGTACAATTCAGAGAAAAACCCAAGAAATTCCAGAGAAAACTCATTCAAAATGAGTAAATCTCTTCTGTATTCTTCCTTTCTCTTGGGCACCCCGCTTCCTTCTCTGCATCACCAAAGATCCAATGGAGCTTTTCCTCTTCCTAACAAGCCTCGAAGGACCCATTTTAATGTTAAATTCAGCCTTCACGACTTTAACCAATTCCATGAATTGGGTTCTTTAGTAGACTTTGAGAGAATTATGGGAAGAGCAGAGGGGCTTCTTTACACTCTTGCTGATGCTGCTGTTTCCACGGACCCAAGTGTCACAGCCTCGACCGAAACAGTCCAGAAGAACGGCGGGTGGTTTGGGTTCATTTCTGACACCATGGAAGTTGTTTTGAAGGTATGGATAGCTCCGTTTTGCTCTGGTTAGTGCTTTTCACTGACCCAATTTGTAATTTCTATTGAGGATCAGGTTCCATCAAGCATCTTTTGTTTTGTCATTTCTGAAGTCATGGAAGTTGTTTGGAAGACATAGGAAGCTTAATTTTGGTTTGGGTTAATTTTTCATTGGCACATTTTATTGAGGATGAGGTTCTATCAATCTTTCTTTTGGTCTTAGTTTGTACAGCTTAAGGATATGGGCCTGAACTACATACCTCATTCTTATGTTTCCCTTTTCATTCTTTAGTTATTTTTTAGGATTTTGGCATTTAGGTAGGTGGGTTTAAAGATTGTTGAATGAAGGGAGTTGTAATATATAACCAATAGCATGATAAGGTAACATTTGACTTTATAGTGGAGGTTTAGAAGTGTGTGAGTCTAATCTGCAGAATTCTTAGTATTTCTTCCATGCTGGCAATGTCGAATAGTTGTTCCTCCAAATATTCCTGATAATTATCATCCTTGCATATATTCTTATTTGCATGGGTGCAAATACATGCGTGTAGATGCGTAGTACAAACTATGTCCACATATTCTCACACAGTAGATGAAGTTTTTTGTAGAAATGCTTCTCTCAAATGAAGCGACCAGAGCATAGGGTTCATAATTCAATCAACCTCTATGTATCTCAAGGTAATTTGCAAATGGAAAACCACTCTTAATTCTTTTGTACTTAGTCTCAGTTTATCCTCTGCCAATCACATTCTGGGACATATAATGAGACCACAAACCAGGTATATGACAAATCGAGAACTAAACAAAGTGGCTTTTGTGAGTACATTTTGTACCTTGAAACATGGACATAAGAGGCTTTGCATTACAAGTTTATGTTCACAACCATAATGCTAATGAAACCTTGATAATGTGGGAAAAAAAGACCGGTGCCCATCCCAGAGCATGGAAATTTCTTCGATGATGTTTGCCAGTCCTCAAGGAGAATATGCATCTATTCTCTCCCGTCTTATCATGTTAAGTGAATCATCCTTTGAAAAAATCAAATGAGTTCGTGGAGACCTTTTACATTGACCTCCCGAGTCATAGGTTCCTGTATGCCTGGCAAAAGTCTTGATTACTGTGACTATATTCTTGCTAAGTGAGCATCCAGCCTTGATGATAGTGTTCCACATGAATTTCAAGAAATCCTCTGGTAGAATAGCACTTCTCTAGAATTTTTTGACATTTTTTTAGAAGTATTGAAACATGCAATCAACATTACCCTGAAAATGCCAAGCACTTCAAGTGAAGTGTCAAAATGAGCACAAAACACTTGTACAGAAATTTTAACCTCTTCCCTTTGAGTGTCTAAATAGCACACATGTCTTCATAATGGATTTTTGGGTTTCCATGTCAATCGTCCTTGCCATCTTTTGGATTTGAGCACTCATTTTGGTGCTCATGACTTTGTGCAACTTTGTATAGTGTGATATTTGATTGGCAATGCAGAGGAATGCCTCAAAGGCCTGCTATCCTTGAAGGAAGTTGCAAAATTTGGGATGACTGCTGTAGAATAAATCTTGGGTAGATAATTTTAAAGGAACATGAGGGCTGAGATTTAAGAAAGAGGACACATAGGTGTATAGGTAGTCTAGGGAGAACAGAGGAGATTGAGGGAACATGGGGTTAAGATCTAGTAGTATAGAGAAGTTTGTGGTCACTGGGAATGAAGACATAAGCAAGAAGAAAGAGGAACTAAAGAATTGTTTAGTAGGGCAGCTCTACCTTTAATTGACATTAGTTGGTAGCTGAGTACGACATTTGATAGTCCTTAGAGTTGTTCGCTTCTATTTTTCCTCCACTGAGAAAGAGGAGTGAGCTACATTTTAGTGCATGTAACCAGGAGGATATGAGAGTTCTTCCTGTCCCTCAAAAGGCTGATTAGCCTTATTTTTTCTTTTTTTGATAGGTTAATATAACCAATGGGAGCCTTTGGCAGAGTTCGGTTTTGTGCCTCTGCATTCCATTCAATGACTTGTTCTCAGCCCTTTTCCAAATTATTGGGGAGGCCTGTGAGCGCTGGAGGTGAGTGGATTTTTAATATACTATTACAGTGTACTACATGCACCTTGATTTATTATTTTAGTGTTTATATTGCATTTGAAAGTTGTGGCGTTACATCCTATGAGTGTAACTTTTTTGTTTCTTTCAAAGCATTTAGACTGCGTGATGAATTTGTGCTGATATGTTTTTCAATTTTTCAGGATTTAATACAATCTATTGGCTATTTAAACAATTCCTTTTCTTATATTTAGTTTGTCACTTTGATTTTAGCTTCATTTGTTTTAGTTATGCATTGGATTGATGTTATCTTGAGAACGCATTTTTTGGGCATGTAAACACAGAGACGAAATTGTTTTGTTAGTTTATCTAGTTTTTGTTTATTAATTCATCAACTTTCACTATCTCTCACTAGTGGTCCATTACAAAGTGCATTGCCTTCTGTTATTTGGCTAGAGAGTAGTAAACATGTGGAGATATTGATGTGCTTTACTATTTGCAGGTCTTGAAAGATGGGCTTTCTACTGTACATGTTCCATATGCATATGGATTTGCAATCATATTGCTAACGGTTCTTGTTAAAATAGCTACATTTCCCTTGACAAAGAAACAGGTGCATAATTTATTTGTCTTTTCATGATCCTTTAAATGATTTTCTTGCTATCATAGATTTCTGAATTTCTATACATGAATTTGTTTGGAAAATATCATATTATTAATCAATCAAGGGTTTCACTTGATTATGAGCTTTGGCCACTACTATCTATCAAATTTAAAGAATTATCTAATGTGAAATTTCTTTTCATTGTAATTATTCCAGTGTGCAGAAATAGTTGTTCAAAACTTGCGTAGTCTGACTTGGGCCTGGGCAAATCACTTAAACCTGCAGGGCGCCTGATCTGAGTGAAAACCTTGGGAATTGCCTGAGTCTCATCTGTTTCCAATGTTTCTTTGATATTGTCTTGAATGCTTGGCCTACTCCAACTTGCTGAGTTGGACCTGGGCATTGTGCTGTTCCAGAGTCGAGTCTAACTTTAAAAACACTTGTGCAAATTACGAAACAAATGTGTATTTACCACAGAATACTTACATGTACTTGATAGGACAGATGACAAAATATAAGCAACAAGGCATTGCCCTTGACAATTGTAGATAAGGCACATAAGACACCTTAGGTTTTGATTTCCTCAATTTTAGTACAATTAAAACAACAGTTTGCATATAACATAGAGATTATTAATTTTTGTTTTTGTTTCTTTCTTACAATGAAATGATTAAACCAAATAAAAATTGAAGATAAAATAAAAGAGAAAAGCTATCATACTCATATTGTAATTACTTAATTGGGAATGCATTTCTAAGCACTCATGCTCGGGAATGCATTTCTGAGCACTCATGCTTCAAGTGATTGTAATATGAGCATGAAACTTAACTTTTACTTATGCTCATTTTGCTTTATCATCTATGTGGAAATAAATCAGGTTAAATAACTTGCTATTTAGGTTGCCATGAAATTGATAAAGCCAAAGAGTAGGTTATTTATCATAGCTGGAAAACATAATAAGGGAAGATTCAAAATGATTATCGTATATTCTATTAGTTCCGATGCTTATACCACAATGGTGATTTCTTGGTCCACAAAACATGATTGTTGTCCACATCTCTTTCTTCAGAATGCTGTAGATAAATCAAAAATAGGTATTACTTTCTTATTTGCTGCATTTGTATACTTTACAATAATTATAAGTGAAAAGTAATCGTTTGCTAAACCAGCCAACTTAAATATTTCATATTTAGGTGGAGTCAACGTTGGCTATGCAAAATCTTCAACCAAAGATCAAAGCTATTCAACAAAGATATGCAGGCAATCAGGTGAGTTGATCCATGATGGCTTTTGTTATAAAACATATATCTCATAGAAAAGTCCGGTCACCACTGGGTGGTGTAGATGCAAATCGACGAAGTCAAATGATATTAAACTAGTTATTCGTTATTCAATAGTTGCACTTTTACTATTAATTTGACTATTTACTACATGGAGCTATTTTGCCTTGTAGGTGCTGTCTATTACTCTCTTGCTTATGCATTTTATCTAATGTAAATTATTCTGATTATTTTCTGAAGGTTGCATCCTCTCTCTTTATTTGACTCAAACAATGAGATTCATTTTCACTTGTTGAAAGTTTGCGTATATTCCTACTAAGCAAGTAAAATTGTTTAAGGGATATGTCTGAGGCTACCTGTATGAAGTGAACCATATTTGGCCATCCTAAAAGTTTTGAAATACATCTTGACATTTTTTCTATATACTTCACAATGATGGCTGTGGATATGTCTATTAGCAACATGGACCTTGTAACGTGTAACATAACCCGAGTCCCCTCCCCTCTCAAAAAAAAAAAAAAAAAAAGAAGAAACAAGGTACACCATAGTGCTAAAAGTTGCTCCTGACTTTGCTTGTGACTCTAGATTTGCTTCTCACTTCTCTTTTTAAAATTCTTCTGTTGGAGTGGCATCCTTGGAGTGGAAATTATGAGTTTCTTTGCTTAATGATCATTTGTAATTTGCCCTATCTAATATATGTTTTGTTATTTTTTAGGAAAGGATCCAGCTAGAGACAGCCCGTCTATACAAACAAGCTGGAGTTAATCCGTTGGCTGGTGTGTATACCTTTCATTATTTTATGTTCAGTTTAAGCATGAATTTTGTAGGCAACAGCCGGTAATATCTTTTTCATGTTTTAGTATAAGAAGGTTGCTCGATTTTTTTTATCATTTGACTTTAGACATTTTAAACCTGTGGATTTTATTTTGTTTTATTTTTTATTATTTTATTACCTAAGCTTAATAATTCGATTAGAAATAAAATAGAGAAACTACAAAGAAACTGATTGATGCAACTTTATACTAGTGGCAACAGAAAAATTCATTTCTATGTATTATTTCAATGTGACTGCAATTTATCTTTGATCGATTGCCACTTGTGATAATATTCTCCTTGATGTTTGATAAAACGACTTGGAAATACTTGAATATCATGCAAATTGAGATGCGTGATATGCAATTATCCAAAAAGTCCAGGTGGAAGAACAGTGGTGGGAGGTGCCCGAAAAAACAGTTCTAGGTCGAAATTGTGTGTAAAAAATGCATATTGAGGCATTTTTAATACATCTTTTTTATGTTCAATCAATCCAAACTCCAAAGTCAAACCAAAGTATTTGAGATTTGGACAATTAGTTAATAACACATCAAGAAAAATAGGAAAATATAATCCATCATTCAAATTCAGTACTAGACATAACACATAGTCCATAACTCCATCCACACACTCCATAGTCCATACCATTACCATGATTAGCATCCCAGTCCATGCTCCATACACCATAGCCCATACACATAAGAGGAGGTTTTCAAACCTTTGAATTAATTGATCTCCTAACATAAATGCCAAAATGCGCGTTTTTTCTTGGTCTTATCTTAAAAAAGGAGTTTACCCCCCATGGCTAGGCGCCCTCCTAGGCAGGTGACCAGGGTCCTTGGGCGGGCGCCCAGGGATCCAGCATCTAGAAGGGCCCGCCTAGGCGTTGGGTGGGCAGCTTTTATATTGGTGTGGTGCTATCCCACAATAAAGGCATTGTCTATCAACTCCTTAGATCAACTGTATCTAATCATGTTTTATGCCCATCTCATAACTTATTCATTTGATTTTTTGCATCTTGTTCTTGTAATCATCTTCTAGTTTCTCTTTGAAATATTTATTCGGACTTTCTGGTCTCAAAAACTATGTGGTGGCCCTGGTTTATTGTGTGAAGGATGTTTACCCACTTTGGCTACAATACCAGTTTGGATTGGTTTATATCAGGCCCTTTCCAATGTTGCAAATGAGGTACTGTAAATCTTTTTTCCTTTAATGGTACAAAATGTGAATCTATACAATTTTCAGCAAGAATGCTAGGACTTGGGACTTGGCAAAGTCCCAAGTCAAAGTCATTCGTATGGACTTAGCTGAGAGACTCGGCCGAGTCTGTACAAGTTATAATACTAAAATACAGGAACAACCAAGTTTGGCCGGTTCCTTGCCAAGTCCAAGTAACTGGGGTCAGTCAAGTGGGATTCGCCCGAGTTTTAGAATGCTGATTCTATATTTCAAGTACTTGAATTATGTTGATTTTGGAATTTGTTCATTAATTTTTGAATTGTTTTTACTTATTTGAAGGGATTGCTCACAGAAGGTTTCTTTTGGATTCCCTCTTTGGCTGGCCCCACCACCATCGCTGCACGACAAAGTGGATCTGGAATTTCATGGCTCATCCCATTTGTGGTAATAGGTCTCTTCTTTGTAAATCAAACTACAAAAGAAAGGAAAACAAACAACCTATTGTATTAATCAAATGAGGAAGCGAAGCTTACAAGCCTTGCTTCATATCTTTTGTCCGGCAGAACCAGGAAGCCTTAAGTGAAACCCTAAAAATTGTCTTCACAAGCTATTGGTAGACCAAGCTCTAACCCTAGTGTAATCTAGACCATCCACTACAAACATTAAACCTAATCTGTAAACACGAAAGAAAATCCAAAGAGAAATCCATCCCTGATTCTAAAGGAACAAACTACCCCTAATTTCACGATAAAAACTTCAGACACGTCGTTCGGGCCTTTAGAAGCTTTTTTTCCCCAAATCAATGGGCAAAACCAGCAAAGTGGTTTTCTGCATCGTAATGCTTAAAACTCCATTTACGGAAAGCGGTAGTAATAGAAATTCTGATATAGGAACTAAAAGTTTCGGTCCCTGGAAGATGGGGTACAAAATCACTTGCATCACAATGCTTCTATAATCAGATGCCTTATCTGTTTTCTAAATTTCTAATCAACAGCTTCTTAAGTTCTGTCCAGTGATTGTGGCGCTGTATATAAGTGTGTAACTGCAATTTGGCAGTCTACCTATGCTTAGTGAAAGTTTTGCCCATAGATAAAGATATCAAATTTGGCCGTAGCAAGTGTGTCCGTTACAATTTTGGAATACACTAATGAATTTGTTTCTAGATATCAGTTCCTACTTTTCCAATCATTCCATTCACAATTAAAAGTTATGTATTTCGATCTATAATTGATAAAAAGAATATGGTTTATTTTAGGTTTTGTGTGGAGTTTTAATTTTCAACGTGACTCGAAGCAACTTTACAATTTCCCTTGCAGGATGGTCATCCACCCTTGGGCTGGTCTGACACAGCAGCATACCTTGTGTTGCCTGTGCTCCTTGTGGTTTCTCAATATATATCAATGGAACTCATGAAGCCACCTCAGGTAAAGTGGTCAAAATTTTAAACCCTTCAATTCAATCTATATTTTGCTGGAGACAATCCATTGATTCTGCATTATATGTTGGCAGACTGATGATCCAGCTTCGAAGAACTCTCTACTCATTTTTAAATTTCTTCCTCTTATGATTGGCTATTTCTCTCTCTCTGTACCATCGGGATTATCAATCTACTGGTCAGTTCCTTTCCGACATTTCTTTTCTTACAGAAGATTAGAGAGTTAAAAAATGATCAATTTGCAAATTCAGTTGCTATGTCACTGAATGTGAAACATCAAAGGTTGCAACCATTATAATCAATAACTATGACTTGAGTTTTGTGATGTTTTATGTATCTTTTGTTTTGAGTATATCTTGTGTTTCTGATGCAATTCTTTTCTTTACATTGCGCATATAAAATTTTAATGAAATTAAACTGGTTTTGAATCTATTCTATTTGTGCGGCTCTTCAAAAAAATTTAAAGAATTCTATGAGGGTGGTGTTGTCTGGACTTTTCAATGATAGATGCTCGGAATTGCTGTGGGATTTACCGACAGTTTTTATGGTCCTGCAAAGTTCAAAGCTGCTTTAGTTTCTTGGACTTGTCTCATCAGAAATGCAAAAATTTGCAACATGGGTTGAAGATGGATAGTATATTGACCACATCTGATCGCTCTATGCAGCTCAATACCTGTTCCAAATTTGCTCTTAAAGACCAAGCAGTTAGCATTTTCTAGCAACTGAGGAATATCAAATAATGGCATGTTAAGTCAATGATTGGATTATTAATATGGACAAACAATTAAAAGGAGCACATTATAGCTTGAACTCAAGCCGTTGTATTATGTGAAATATTGGTTTTTTTTGTTTTCAGTTATATTATTCTATAGCTGTTTCTTTTCAGTTAATCCTATTCTCATTAATTTGCACGTAAATTCGGATTTCATTTTATTTTCTATGGCATGTTCCTACCTACCACGACAAGGAGCTGTATTAAAAAATGTTTCATGATCTTGTGCTATTTTCCTGAGTTTAGGTTCACAAATAACGTTTTGAGTACGGCCCAACAAGTTTGGCTACGAAATCTAGGTGGTGCAAAACCTGTGGTAGATGAGGATGCAAGTGGAATCATCAGCGCTGGAAGGGCAAAACGGTCAGAATCCCAGGCGGTCACAACTGTGGAACCACGGCGTGGTGATAGGTTTTTTATTCTGTTCCTCCAGATTATCTCATCATTTACTCCAAAGATTGCTACTTATTATACAGAGCGTGTAAGCTGTGGTCAGCATACAATACACAATACTTTTAATACACTATATTTTTAATATACAGGCAATCCACTGTTCATCCTCAGCAGTGGATGGTGGGGATGACCCATTTTTCTCCTGGCAGGCATGATGGATTGTCAGGTAGAATCATAGTTGATCAACATCCATCATTGAGGGCAGATGGTGGATTGCCTGTCATGTATAGTATATTACGTACACTGCATGAATAGTATTCTTTTCCCTTCTAGTTGACGTTTACAGTGTAGTGCTGAGATATATCACGATTTCAGGTTTAAGCAATTGAAAGAAGAGGAAAGCAAGAAAAAATTAAATAAATCAATGCAAGAAGTGCAGGTAATGGCCTCAACATCGGAAACTGATGATAGTTCCGAGGAAGAGGGACAAGACAAGGTACTTTTGAAAACATTCTTTGCTTTGTTTCTTGGCCATTTAATATACATGTGATTTCAAATTTGTCTTCTCTTAACCTGTAATTAAGTAAGCATTAATCCCCTTCAATGTCATTAGATATATGTAATCTTCCTTCAAACATCAATACATATACGTTGTTGATTTGAGAGTTTTAGATAATTTTATGACAATTATTTTGCCGATGTAATCTTCCTGGGACTGTCAATTTATGTCATACCATTCTTGATGATGCATCATTTTCTCATAAAAATATGACATAAAACAGACTAATTAAATTTTAGATGGAGTCCATCAGAGTATACTGGAGAATATGTTCCTTTGATCATTGTTTATAATCATATTTGATAACTTGTTCTCAGTTTTATTGCTCATTGTGCAGCAGCATCCAGGGGATTTGAATTTTTTTTTGCTTTAACACTCTTAAAGATAAACTGTTGCTCTGCTTAACCACATAAAATTAGTGCAGTTTCTATGGACACATGGGTTACATGGGAGGGTTAATGCTCTTGAGAGTAGAAGGTTGAAGCTATAGACTTGAGATGGTTTTGTTCATGGCAAAATAGTGAATGGTGCTACTCACTAAATATCCACCAGGGAAATGTTACCTATAAAATATGCTAGAAGATGTATATATATACATCCGCGCACACACACACACACACTCTGATCCTGTGTGTGTATGTGTGCGTGCATGCATGTGTGTGTGAGATCTTAGACATTTTGTACATCCCAGCTTTAGTGTCAATATAAGGCTTGGTAACTTTATTGGGGTACTTCTTGGAAAAACGATAGAGCCAGTTACAAGCCTTGTGTGTCAGTTTCTATTACGGTTATTGATGGAGCAAACTAACAAAATCTTTACGAGAGTCCTCGATTCTGATTGAGTAGATTATGGCTAAAATTCTTGGACTTCGCTCATCCTATGGTAGGTCCTAGCCGAAGTGAGGGTTCATCTTGCAAATTTAGAGCAATAAGGAGTCCTTTTGTGGGATCTTTAAATTTAGTGATAGTTTGAGCCAAAAAGATTATGTTTCTATTCATAATGTAAATCAAGAAAACATAAGGCAACTCAAGTAAAATTTGAGCAGAAATATGCTATGTACAGCAAGCTTAAGGTGTGCTGTTGGAATGTGCTTGGCATGTGTGATTTTCTTGAGCATCAAAACGTATTGAAGAAATTCTTTCCCAAACCTCCCTGTCTAGATCAGAGAGATGCTTGCTTTGAAATGGTAATTTATGAGGCTATTTTCATTTCAAACTGAGAGATGATATTTGTTTTGAGTGTACAGCAAACATGTGTTTTGGATTTTCATTCCATAAAAATGGGACTAAACTTGTTTCATAGTCTAGACCACATATTTGAATGTTACTCTTGGGTACCAACCATCTCTTTTATCATCCAATGGTTCAAAATATAATGGTAACTTTGTGGACACATCTCATGTTAAGCCATGTTCATATCTTTCGTTGGCAGGCCAAGTTGCCAAATGTCACTTTTGGATAACATGGTCCTCTATTGCACCATGCCAAGTCAATTATCCTTGGAATATCTCAATGATTGAAGTTCCACCACATGATGGATTGACTGAGGGATAACTTTTGTGTCATGGGAGCGTTCTCGTGACATCATGTGCATGGAAATCCATAATTGGAACTAAAGAAATGGGAAACTGCGAGAGAAGACGGGGTTTATGTCTCTAAACATCCATGCAGATTTTCTGCAAGACATGAATGACTTTTATTGTCTATTCTGAACCTGTATTATTGCTTCCCATGTCAATGATCCATATATAAGCCAACTTAATGAAATAAATGGGGAAAGACTCTTTAATATAGAAAATTTTGACAAACACTAGATTTAAGTGTCACTACTATGAACTGCATGCGATGTCAATTTGGTTATCGCGAGACAATAGTGTGCATGAATCATATTGGGCATGGTGGAATTGTACTCAGAAAGAGTTGAAAGAAACCCTAGTGTTTTTTTTTGAGTCCTAGATGGGATCACTTTACTAACATAACCCATGGAATTAACTCGTTAGTCGAAGTAGTATGTTTTTTGTATTGGGGCTTGTGGCCTTTAAAGCCTGTGAGAGCTTGTAAATAGAATTATTTGTAGTTATTTGTGCACTTTAGGGGGGAGTGTACCATAGCTGACTGACCTAGGTTGGGCAATCTATGGCCCGGGTCATGTCCAAAACCCTTTCCCTTGGAATAGGCACTACCATTGAGGGTTTATAGAGAGTCCTCCCTTGTTGAGGTCAGAGAGATGCCCAGGGACATTGTTTGTGGGCCTGGAGAGTTGTGTGGTCTCCTATGTGCGGAAGTAAGCCTGAGACAGTGAGGGTCAAATCCTCAACAAGGCCTCCGCACAACATGTACATATGACAACAACATTTTGAGAAGCAACCCTATATAGAAGGCACATGTACATGTGCGTAGAGAGCGCCCTTTTGTACTAACCATGGGTCATAGGTCAGGTTGGGTTGGTTTGAGAAGAAAGTTGTGGATCATGGATCCCAGCACAAGTGGAGTGCCTTGATAGTCACTTGTTATTTATTATATTGTATCATTCCACTTTTAAAAGGTATTTCTGTGTATTTTGAATTTCTATGATTTTTGGGTATATTTCTCCGAATTTTAAAGTGTTCTTTTTATTTGCATTAAAAGACCGCTAAAGGGTATGTCTGTATTTTTTGAATAAGGGGGCATTTTAGTAATTACTCAATTTTAGGTGGGACCCACTTTTTTGTTTTGGGGCGAGGGGTAAGGGCCTAGTCCCCACATGTGCGGGACCCACATGGGGTTGTCATGTGGGGCCCACTAGGGCCACACACCCCATTAAGATGGATGCCCCATATTTTGGGGATTTACTTTTTTAAAGAATTTTTTTTTAAAATATAAATTCCTAGTTAGTTAAATTTTATCCTAAAATATTTTTTTAGTGAAAATTATTGAATATTTTTTTAGATCTAGATTGTCTTTGACCAAATTTAATTTACTTGAATTCCTAATTATCTCTTTGTGAGAGCATCTGATTTTTAGAAAATTTTAAAAGGTAAGAATTGACTGGTTAGAGTTCTAGATAATTGACTGGTTAGAGTTCTAGATAGATTAGAAGTGGGTATGGATCAAAACTTAGGGGATAAGGTTGCTAAATATACACTAGATCATACTGGCTATCTTAAAGATAAATGGCTCAAATTAATACTTTCTCTTACCTCACAAATTACCTAATTAATTTATATTGAATCCTAATCTAACTGGGACTCCCTAAGCCCTAGAGGCCTGTAGAAGGAGGGGTTTTTCCCCTTTATTCTTACATCAAGTCTCTCCCATTTCTCTCTCTTCTCTCCATGCCTCTCTCTCTATTTTTCTCTCATCTCTCTCTCTCTCTCTTGTCCTCTTCCCTCCGTAGGTGGTATTCCACCCCTCCTAAGTGTTGGGGTCACATGCACCTACCTAGAGAGGTAGAGGGCACACCCAGTCTGAGCTTTGGTTTTAGGGAAAGTACCATTTTGGCATATGCCCCAAGTGAAAAAGGGTTCTTTGTGAAACCCTAATTGTGACCCTAGCTCTCTTGCCCCATAAGTTTTATATAAGGTTGTCCCAGACGGGCTTCACAGTTCAGATTTGTGGACTTAGTAAGATCTAGAATTGTTTAGCATGCCATCAGTCATGTGATCGACTGTGGGTTGTGCTAAACCCTAAGGGGGTGACCCTAGCCAAATGTCAATAAGTCATCCATCAGTTGTTTTATTTTATTTTTGGTGTTCTTGTCTTATTTTGCTTCCTAAAGTTAGTTTGTAATTGATTTTTCAATAGAATTTTTTTGGCAATAAATTTTAAACTTCCTAGATTGTGGTAGGTTTGATTTTATTATATTTGTGGCACATGTAAGTAGAATTTCCGGCAATTAATAAAGAAAAGAAAGAAATTTTTTTGATTTTATATCCTGAAATTCTGCATAGACACTGCTTTCAGTTTTGTGTGTGTGTGTGTGTGTGTGTGTGAGAGAGAGAGAGAGAGAGAGAGTCCTAGCTAATTTAAATTGAGAGAGTATTGTAGGTAAATTTATGTTTCTAGTATGACTAAAGTTTCTTCCTTATAATTTATATCATGACTGAGGTAGAAATAATAATATAGAAAAGTGATTGTAGTT